AGAGGAGAAAGGCGCAGAGTTCTGGAACTTCACAAACCATAAATCATGGCTCTCGAGCCCGCACCACAGCCAGCTTTCCTGCCCTGCATTTGCCCGTGCCTAGAGAAATCCTGAAAAACCAGCACGTCTGCCAACCGGGGGCACAATCCTTTTTTTTTCAACAATAAATGTATTTCTTGCCTAATCTGTACTAGTTGAGGTTGCTGGGGTGAACGCTCTGAGTGCCCTTTGCCTCCTCTGAACGAACAGCTTCCGGAGCCACTGTTGTAAAGCCAGATTCTGCACTAACTGGATCATTTCAGCCATGGCCTGCCCTTGCCAGGACAGCCCGGGTCTACCATTATCCAAGGACAGCATTTCAAGTTTTGTTTTGAAGCGGCCACGTGGTATCGAAGCATGCAGGACGTTTGCTTTGTGTCCTGCTTCTTCAAAGAGCAGAGCTGGCGCCCCACAACTTACTACTTTTAAAAAGCGATACCATGTTGCTGTTGCTTCCCCGGGACTGTGTAGTCCAAACTGTCCGATGGTTGCAACCTCATTCCTCCACCCTGCACCAGCCATTGTATTCTGCACTTTGTAACCTATAAAGAGCAAACACAAGCTTCCAGGTGTTTCCAGACAGAAAAGGCCCCAGCCTAAGATGGCCACACTGCTCTGTGGACAGTGTTTGCTTTGAAACGAAAGCCCCAGCAGGAGATGCTGCCTCGGGGCTCTGAAGTGACCTTGAACTAGCTGAAGTTGCCACTGAGCCCGGCACTTCAGACCTGCTTTCTTGCTGTCACTGTAACCAGTTTTGAGCCTCCCTTTGGACAGACTTTAACATCCACCAATTCAGCACAAAAGCATTCTGCTACCATAGGCTTCAAATGGACGGTGATGCCACCGGAATTTAGATGAAATCGGGACCGTCAGACCCAGTCTTCCCTCATGTCAGCAGGCCCCTGCAGCCCCAGGCCACTGGAGAGTGAGGCCCTCGGAGTCCCATTCAAGAACCTCCCTAGTACTTCACGACAGATGCCAATCAGGAGGGGTCCAAGGTCCAACCCCTAGGAGTTTGTTTGCTTAAATATATAACATCTACCTATTTCCACTTGTTTCCAGTAAAATGAGTGAAAAAGACCCTCGTTATTTTGCATACAGGGCAAACGCATATTCCAGCGGCACCCCGCCCGCCCTCCATGACACTCACTGTTACACTGGTCACAAGCGTAGATTCTCCCCTCCAGGGCCTCTGTCTCCGTGAACTTGGCCAGCATCTCAGTGAGCAGGCACTCTGTCTGGTTCAAAGGGACAAGCCCCTTGTCTATGCAGTGGTAGCGTTCCGGGAATTCCAGGGACAGATCCCAGAAGGGCTCAATGGTATTGGATTTGTAGTCGCATGCTATGCACGTGACCTAGAATGAAAAGATTTATTTACAGGTGAGGCAGCTCCCATGCTTCCCGCCCGTGTTTGCTCCACTTACTCAATGACACATAGCCTGAGCAAAACTAGATGTATTGATTAAAAAGGAAATTACAACATTAAAATAGTAACTCTAACTTTAATGAAAAGAGTAAGACCACACTGCCTCTGGCATGCCTTCCCCACTGTCTGCTGTTGGCTGGAATTGGGAAGCCACAGCTCACAGAGATGATTAACTTCCTATTTCTCTCCTTGCACAGCAGGTTCTACCATTCTCAGCTGCAGGGAGCTAGTCTGCAGGTGAGGGTGAAGTCTTGCAGAGATCGGCTGAGAGGGAGCATTTGCAGGTGACGGTCTGCTCTTTCCCGCCCTTCCTGCCCCCCACCTCCACCCCTCCACACTCCTGTCCTGACATCACCGCTGCCGTGTAGCCCACCTGAACTGGCTTTTTGCCCTTCCTTCTTGCAGCGCCTCTACCCTGCCCCGAGTCTATAGAGGCCCGAAGCACTGTGTGGTGAAAGCTTCTCTTCCAGAGGTGCCGAGTGTGCGCAGTCTGGATATCTTTATCCGTTTTTAGTGCAACGTGTGTATCGTCTGTGTAATCTTTTCACATCTGTGGGAACCCCAGTGGTGCTGTCAGACAAGCATTTGGACCCTAACACAAGATCAGCCTGCAAGCCCCCTTCAAGTTTTACAGTCTTGGGGGCCCTGGGGAGGGCCCCTGCGGTCGGAATGGACTTGCTGGCAGCGGGAGGGTTGTTTGTCTTGGGCTTGCCCACTATAACCTTCCCAGATGCACCTTTACAGGGGAGAGCATGCTGGTGAAGTTACGGCCCCACTTCCCATGCTAAATACCACACCTGGAAGGAAATTCCTCTTCCCATGCCAACCCTTTAAAAACCCAGACACAAAGCCTCAACAAAGGATGGAGGCTCTGACTGAGCGGCCGTAGTCTGCTCTAAAAGTTCTCTGCGTCGTTCTCACAGGTCCTTATCTATGATTCCCTGCTTAGTCCCTCGATGGCCAAAGATCCAGGAAAGGCGGGGACATGGGGACCAGGAAGGAGGCTTGCTCACTCAAGTCCCGGCATCCTTCCCACCATCTCCCTTCCTTGTGTGTACAGAATGTCTGGGAAGCCCTCGGAAGGAAGGAAGGAATGAAGGCAGCCCCATCACACCACCTTGCAGCAGGGCCACAGTCACGCTCCAAAAACTGCTCGAAGGCTGGCACGCCAACAAGAGGCAGGTGGTTGTAACCTTTTTAAAAGGTAAAGGCACCCACTGAAAACAAAGTGACCTGACAGTAAACTAACAAGCTGGTGAGAAATCCAGGAAGCAAGGTCACCACAATGCCATTGCACGGTGCACAGTGCAACGAGGAGGCCCACGGCCACCTTCAGCTATGCAAACTGCACACCTATTAGCAATCCAAGTTATTCTGAGGCCTCCTGGCCATGCAGTGGTGAATCGCTTGGTTGCTGACCGAAAGGCCGGCAGTTCCAACCCAGTAGCCCCTCTGCCGGAGAAGCAGTGGGCGCCTGCTCCAGTAAAGATGCCAGCCTGGGAAACCCTCTGGGGCAGCTCTACTCTGTCCTGCAGGGTGGCCGGGTGTCGGGGTGGCCTCAGCCAGGGGATGTGTTTCTGGTTCACCCCAACCTATCGCACCCCCCCACCCCCCCACCCCGGTGTGGTGGCGAGCCAGGTCCCCACACCTACCTGACTCAGTAGCTGCCCGTGGAATATGGTGTTCACCACCTTTAAGACCTGCTTGGTGAGCTTCCTCTGGGAGAAGGGGATGAGGATGTGGTGCGCGGTGCCCTCGGCCTCCAGCTCCTGCTGCACCTTGTGCAGCAGCTCACAGAGGAACTCCTGGGCGTCCTGCTGGTCGTAGCCCCGGAAGGCGGGGATCAGGCTCCACACTGAGTGAAGCATGGCGAAGGGAGACACCAGGGCCCACTTCCCAGACCACATGACTCGGAAGAGGGTGTGCAGCTCGTGACAGAGGGACATGTGCTTTGAGCTCGGCTCCTTGTTCTGGATGAGTTCTAGGCTCCTGCTGATGGAGGCCCCGCCATTCAAGCAGAGGGCCTCCCGGTCCCAGGCCTCAGCCCTGGGGCCCCTGGCCTGCACCTCCGGGGCCGAGCTGCTCGCTGGCCTGCCCGAGGAGAGCGGAGCCTTCCCGTTGGTCGCTCTGGGGAACAGCCGCTCCGTTTTGGAAGGGTCCAGGTTCAGGAAGCACTCCCGGAACTTCCGCAGGTGGCTGAGGACCTGGAGGATGGAGTTCATGTAGCAGGTGTTGCCCAGGTTGCGCAGGCCCGTGACGCCGGGGGCCACGGCCCGCTTGCGGTGCGGCTTGAGCTTGGCCCCGGGCGTTTTCCTTGAGGTAGGGAGGG